CAAAGGGCATCTCCCAGGCTGAACATGTAACTGAAGATCTCTTCATAATCTTGAACCCTTTGATCATCTGATATTCCTTGTTTAGATTAGGGCCATTGCACTGAGGGTTGATTGCCAGCTTCGTTGACCCTTCACTAAGAAGTGAGCTTAGAAAGATTTGGTCGACTGAAATAAGTTTTGCGTTAAATAACTAGGCAGTTGTAAAATGTTCTACTGGTTCGTTCGGTACCTGTTGATAGTACCACTACCGATTGAGTCGGTAGTGGTACTATCGATTGTGACAACATTTTGGCCCATATCGTGGGGATTAAAAATGCACGGCAACTCGAACTTGTGTTGGTCAGTGCGCGTCTAGTTGAACTTAGACTTCGACAATCAAAGCATCCCACCCGTTATCAATTCTAACTTTTGAAAACTTTCATGTCGAATTAGATCCCTTTAGCAGTCCGGACTTTGACTACAATCTTTGAACACGGTCATCCCTGACCTATCCTTTTGGATTGGACTATTTCCGTTTAGCAGCAGCTTGCTCCTCTAAGGCGAATGCCTTATCGACTTTGATCCTCATTGGCAATCTTGGGATGTCCTTCTCGGGCCTATGCTGTATGAGTCATCCAGCCGTTGAATCGCTTAAGTCTAGGCTATGAGATCTCTTGCTTGAACTTTTCATTACAATTTGATGCTTTGCGAACCATCGAATATATTGGGTCAATCGACTATATCGAAAGCCATGGCCATCCCAAGTCACCCGATATGATATCTGACCACTTGGTTGTCGGCAAACTTTCTTTGTTTCTTTGAACACCTTTGGCCCTTGGCCCCCTTACGACTGCCCGGATCCGCTGGTCCTCCAGGCTCCCGGACCGTCTTGCATGCTCTTGACCATATAGCGGCCTGTGATCCCTTTTTGTCCTCCGGCATAGTATGGACTCTGGCTTGTGTCCAGGCCCACTGCACCTAGGCCTTTTGACTTTCCAGGTATCCCTTGATAACCAAAACCCCTTGGTCTGCCATTTCGGAGATTTGTTTACCATTTGGGATCGTCCCAAAGCCTATGAGCACCTAAATACGCCATCATCATATAAGATCCCCTACAGATCATGAGTCTGGAGCCTTTTCATCATGCTGTGCATTTTGATTGCATTGGAGCTCCTTTGCCCGCAGAATTCGTCTGAGCTTTGTTTGACTTGAGGCGTTAAAGGGCTCGTGGCGACCAGCTCCCCTGATAACAGAGACTACTGACCTCGCGGTCCCCTGGCCAATAGGGACTACTGACCTCGCGGTCCCCGGCCAACAGAGACTATGACCTCGCGGTCCCCGGCCATACGGGACTACTGACCTCGCGGTCCCCTGGCCAACAGAGACTACTGACCTCGCGGTCCCCCGGCCAACAGAGACTACTGACCTCGCGGTCCCCGGCCAATAGAGACTAGACTCGCGGTCCCCTGGCCAACAGAGACTACTGACTCGCGGTTCCCCGGCCAACGGACTACTCTGACCTCGCGGTCCCCTGGCCAAAGGGACTACTGACTCGCGGTCCCCTGGCCAACGAGACTACTGACCTCGCGGTCCCCTGGCCAACAGAGACTACTGATCTACGCCTCGCGGTCCCCGGCCAACAGAAAACTACTGACCCCGCGGTCCC